ATTCTCCTATTGCATTGGAAAATAGAAAACATTGTATAACCAGGGAAGGCAAGGTTAGGCTAGTTTTGGTATTTTAGTATGGGAGACATTTCTACAGTTCACACAGCTCAAATAAAATTATCATATCCATGTTAAGGGCAGAGAAAAAGAAATCATTTATTGATAATCTCATCCAAAAATGTGAAATTTGAAAAGTATCTTTAAAATGAAGATGCACTTATTCCTTAATTTTTTAAATACTTCGATGTGGTGACATGTCATTTAACCTCACCCTCAGTTTCAAAGGTGCCAGGCTGCGAGAACTGCCACTCCACAAATCTTGAGTAAGGTCTCCATAACGACGTGCAATGTGCCCTTTCATACCTAAGGGGTTTGTCCTATGCAATGAATTAAAATAGAAATAACAAATAAGTAATGACAAAAGCAATCAACCTGTGATTTCCATGGCACACTGTTGAAAGCAAATGCAAGCAACTGGCTGTGAATGCAAGTGAAAGGTCCATTGGCTAAAATTTCCATTCTAGCAAATTAAATTTTCATTCTCACTTGCCCAATCAGCATTAGGGTCCAGGAAAATCATCAACCAACTACAACAAAAGGAACCTTAGACTTGCCCAGGGCAAGCAAAATATTTGAAAACTGCTTTTCCAGAGGTGAAACTGGAATTCAAGTATCTTAGGATGGATATGTGCTGCAGTTTTGTTGCATGTAATGTTGCATCATGCATCTGGGTCTAAAAACACAAACCTACAACTACCATCATTATAATGGAGTAATTGAACACACCTGTTTAGTTCATATAAATGGCACTTGGTAGTGAAATACTGTGTGAGGGGCTGCGTATTACTGAGACACTGCAGTGCAGAGTTCATGAAGCATGTGTTGCCCAAGTTGCTCAGTCCTGTGGCTCCTTTTTCAGTTGGTTCTATTAAAACAAATTTATTAGTGAAAACCTAAATTACACTTTCAACAAAATTTCACAAAGATTCAAGAAGACATATTACATGTACTACTCCTGAACAAAGTTTTTCCATCCATTCAGCCTTGCTCTATGTGCATTTACATGAATTCTTTAGCCCATGCCCTACTCAAGATAACTTTTAAAATAACTTTTATTGAATGGAGGTACGTTGCAATCAAGTATATGTACAGTGTATGCAGGGTAAAAAAACCATTGCCATAAGAACAGATTCTCTCCTAAAAATCATACAAAATAAACCAGAAGCATTTATCAGGGTAACAATGCTCGCCTTATTGTAAGGTGCAGTGGCTGCTTTTTATCCCATACCTAGATTAAGTTTCTCTCTCAGACTTCTGTTGTTTGCTAAAGATGACATCTCTTCTGGCCAACTCATATCTCTATTGCGAACTGCAGAAAAAAACACAGACGGTTTTTCTTTCTGTATGAAGCTTACAGAGAAAAAGAGAAAAGGGGATAACAGTCATTAACAGAATTCTACTCCTATGCTAATGCAAATGCCGCAATCAGATTAGCTGAGCTATGTTACACTATCAGCCATTTGGAAAAACATTTAGAAACCAACAGGTAATTAAATTCCTGAGAAGACTAAATGAAAGAAGTCCACATGTTGGTGACATTGAAATATTGAAATTGACGAGAAGAAAAAAACTATTGATGAGCATGTTCACAACTGCAAATTTTAAATCACAATTCAGTCTGCATGACTTTTTTCAAACTAGAAGTTTAATACTGTGCAGACAAATAAAATTACAAACGGCATTTAAAGAAAATTTTAGCTAGAATTCTACTAAAACAAATAGATCATTCGCTCTTGATTTCTATGAGGTATTAGTATAAATCTACTAGTGTTCTACCACTAATGCCCTTCTATGACTGACTACACCACTTACTATCTATTCTGTTGTACATAGTTAGAAGCATAACAATGTGCGGTTGTGAACAAAGTGATGGCCGATTCTTTGCGTTTTCGAAGTGTCTGTGAATAGGATTTAGATTAAGTTTTGAACAACTACTAGACTTATACTAAAACAATTAGATTATTTACTCTAGATTTCTATGGGTGATAGTTGACTAAAACTGCGCCCTCGTCAGCTATCATGAGATAGAAATCTCGAACTCATAATCTAATTGTTAAATAGTTGATTCACTTGCAAATGCATTTAAAAAAGTACAAATGATATTGTTGTGATACTGGGTGGTTATTGTTTATCATCTCATCACACAGCCACCAACCTTCAATAAGTACAGGATGGTTGTCTGTGATTTCCAACTTTTCCAGTGATGAATTATCCTCCTCTAAAAGCCTCAATTTATTCTGTGAAAAAGGTTCACATAACTTAACATGCAAGATACCCTAAACAAACAGTTACTGATACACTGGAGTGGGATGATATCAGAGCCGAAAATAAACATTCAGACACCAGACATTGATTGGTGTTCAACCAAATGTTCAAATGTGAACAGAAACAAGTTCCACACCCTGACCTGTACTGAACTAACAAAGAGTTTAACATTACCATATACCTTCAGAGCACCTTTAAAGGTCTTTCGCATCTAAGCAATCTAGTGCGTCCAGTTTAAACTGTACATACCTAAACACCTAGACCAAATAAAAGCTTATAGAGCTGGCTATCACACTAAACCAAGATTTTTTAAATAAAATGAAATGTTGAATTTTTTATGACCTCTACATGTGTATCACAAGAATGGCAAATGATTAATTAATTGCTCAATTAGTCAATCAATATTTCTACTGTGCATACCTCATCCTCCATACTCCAGAGCCTCAAATCTTCCATTCGAATTCTGAGTCTTGCACAAAGATAATCATAAACCTAAAAACATTTCAAGCCAATGAAAAAGGCACGAAACATACTACAACGATCATTCGCAGCACGTTTTAGAAAACTGTTACTTCAACATGACTTCTCATGAACTCCAACTAAAGCAGCTTGCCCTGGATTTGCTTCAGTGTAAACCGCAATGGTACATGTACATTCAGTGATTTTTGCTGCTGGAGCTACCAGATCTATTAAATAACATCTTCAAACAAACTCAGTGCAGACTAACCTGCTGTATGGTGTTCATTCGACTAAATGATGCCACATAAGCCAGGTACCTCTTGGGAGGGGCATGAGGAGTGGTAAGAGAATTAGTACCAAACCCAAATGTACTCAGTCCAAATCCTACCCCAGTCCAAGTTGTGATGCCACCTCTTGTGGGGGGAGGGGCATGGCGGAACAGTCGCAGGCTGATTGGATACAACTCTAACTCTGGAGTTGGATCACCATTAGTAGGAGTAATGACCTGTTCACCAAACAAACAACTCATCAGTTTGTTGGCCAAAAAAGTCAATCTCTCGTTAATTTTGTTCAAAGACTAGGCATGAAATTGTCTGTACAGAGACTTGCACTACTTGACTCTGTTGGACAAAGTTGCATGTTGAATGCTGATGTTCTGCATAGATTATACATGTCAAAACCTAATGCCTTTCCTTTTCTCACAAAACAGTCCAGCTAAAATCTACAAGTCAAGAACAAACTTTCTGATGCATCAGATAGACTCTGACCAGTCTGATGTCACCCTGGAATCATGCATGGTTACTGGAAAAACAACTTGTAAACATAAAGTTTCTGATAAAGGCTGCAATGTTACCGTTCTTGGAAGACCTGGTCCTCCTCCATACCACTGCTGAAGAGCTCTCCACACAGGCTCAGGTATGATTTCAAAGTCTCTTCCTCTGCACAAAGGAATGCTCCGTTTCAGCTTTCCTCCTTCCCCAGTTAAAATCATCACCTGAAGTGGAAAATGAACACACACTGAGGCAGAGCTCTCAAATGCCTTTTAAAATAGACTACAGCAGTTTTTAATTGAATGTTAAAAGTAATCTGGCAATTACTTTGGTTTTAGTTTTATGACACTCAATTGAAAACCACTCTAATCTGTAGGGCCATTCAAGTCCAAAAAAACAGTACAAATACAAATCAGTGATAATTTCTCTCCATCCTTGCATGAGCTCTCCAGTAATACATGTACTTTCAGTGGAAAAACTGTCAAGGAATGAACACTGACAACAGCTTCACATTAGAGCTAAACCTTCAAAAATATTCAAAATATATTTTGTTATCACTGTTCCCGTGATAATACAGAGCAAGACAGCAGGTTGCATGAAATGGCAAAAATCATAGGTTGGGCTTAAATTAAACAACAACAAAAGAAGCCAACAAACTCCACCACTTTATGATATAGTGACAAAATACATTTACCAAAACTGCATGATCTCAGGCTCACCTTCCTTGTCTCAGGTTCTACAAGTGGTACATTATCAACAGGACCAGGCACTTGAGTATTGCATGCCACTCCCTGTGAACAGTGACCATTCATTGCACCAGATGGACTTACTGATTTGTTACCAGAATGGTTGTACATAGGATGGGATTCACGTCGTCCCAGGGATCTTGTTTTTAAACTTGAGTCACTACTCCAGGCTTGTCCTGGGTTGCCAGAAGATGTCTGATGTACTTGATTCAGTCTTGATGGTAGAGTACCATTCTTCCGCAAGTTACCAGTTGACGATCTTCTGATGTAAGGCTATTAAATGCAAAGATCAACCACAGGATCAACCTGTATGCAGTGCTTTCAAGAGGTATACCATGGAATATCCCCCAAGTAACTTGCATTTTAACAGTATACATACTTGTCTATACCTGTAGGCCTGTGTACATAACAATACTCCATGGTACACCACAAGAGAGTGCTGCACACCTGTTTTATACCATGCTACAGAAAGATGTGGCCAACATAATCACTGTGACATACATGCAGCATTCAATGGGAAGGTTAGGTGTGATACCATCAGGTATACAATGGCTTTCCTGTACTCTGATTGGCAGTATTTTCTATGGCATAGTATAAACTAATATACAATTCTTACAAAACTGCTCATTACAAGAATTTCAGAGACAAACTTTGGCTTTACTAAATTTCATATATCATTTCACATCTGAGAAATTAAAAGTCATTTCCTGGTCAGAATTGATGTTGTATGACCAGCTTCTACTTAAGTTACAAGAGTGCCCTTACTGTGTTTTCAGTTTCCTGGAGACAATTATTTTTCCACTGCATCCACATAATTAACCTCTCTTTGTTTACAACAGATGATAACAAACCTGGTAACTGACATATTCTTTCCAGATTCGCCACCAAGATATAGCAACCAGATACCAGATACTGCCTGGTTTGAGTTCATGCTGGTACTCACGCTCGAGCCAACCTCTAAAGAAATAACAACATTATCATGTGAAGACCAAGAATTCTCTCTAAACCACTTTCACTCCCTTTTTTAACATAAACACCTAGAGACTTAAGTTTTCATATAAAATCAATGCAAGGTTGAAAAGTGCTTTCTCCTTTCACATACAACATGGTCTCTCCATCATTGCAGAATGAAATATAAGTCCAAAGGACCATAGCCTGCAAATGCAGACATATTTCTGNTAAAAATAACGTCTGCGAACCCGAGCCAGGAAACGATTTCTGTGACGTAATGACTTTTGTTTCTCCTTGGCCAATCAGATTCCATGATAGAATGAAACTAGAGTGCTCCTCGCAGCGAATACCTCGCGCAGTAGTTCTGGGGTTACTTTAGCTAAACTGTTATTGGCTTAAACTTCCTACGTCACAGAAATCATTTCCTAGCTCGGGTTCACAGACGTTATTTTCAGCGGAGACAAGTGACAGCCGGAAATACATCTGCGTTCACAGGGTAAAAGGATCATGACAGAGAGTAAACTGGTTACAGTGTAAGGGAGGTTCACAAAATAGAGAAGCTTCTGCTCTTGAAACAGCAGTCATTCAGCAATCTAAGCAGTTTTGTCTTACCTTACAACTTGAAGTTCAACTTCTCTAGTGACTGGTTTTAGACCCAGGACAATGTGACAAACCTAAAAAGTGAACCAAAATTATTGAGCTGTTGTTTTGAGAAGCTTCAGATCCTTGTATCATGGCTTCCTGATCTTCACGGGACAATCTGTTTGGCTATGTTTGTTTAATAAATTATGCTCTGTAAGGTAGTTTGCATTACGCAATGTCACAGGAGTCAAACACACCAACCATTTTGATCCAAATGACTTAAATTTACTACTTGGTGAAGCTTATATTTCTCATTCATGTTTTTGCATCTCCGCATGGCCATGTGATATCCTCAATATCTGTTGTACCCACCTTAGCTCTACACTAACCTGCACCAACAACTTAGGGAACAAATGAGAAAATCTACGTGTTGAAGCCCATTCTTTGTATTCTTCTAAACTGATCTGACCACCCTGAAGAAAAATCAAACAAACATAATCATGCAAATAAACCTGAAAAAACCATTTTCTCTTGAATGACACCACATATAAAACTCATAAGGTGTCACCAAGCAAGAAAATTAACAATTAACTCATGTCATGAGTAATTAATACATTACCACTTTGGAAACCTTTACAAAACTACCGGTTGCCAAAGGATTTATTTTCAGCTTAACTAAAAAAAGGCATTCTACCTCCTCCTTGCTACAGTCACTCAAGATTTCAGTTGCCATTAATGAAACATCCTTGTCCCAAATAGCACTTGTATCCTGCAATCACACAAAAATAATAAATGATAACAACACAAAAGATGGAACAGTTAACTAACCTGATTTCTGCTTTGCATTTCATGTTACATAATATCCCCTTTCTAAAGACTGCCTTCTTACACCCCAACAAGACCCAAGAAAACACTTTCATTTGTGCCTCTGTCTGCTTGCCCCAAGAAGAAAATCAGCCATCATGAACACTCCAGCTTAACAAATCTATTTTCCCTTTCCTAAATCCTTGTTGTCAAACTCTCAGCTGTCATCATCACATTCTGTCATCAGCCAGTTTAGTTTTTAATTATTACCTTTTCTCCAGCATTTTCTTTTCTGATTTCAGTGAGAGCCTTACACATAACTTCAATTTCACTTCTTGATAGGAAACCATCTCCATCAGAATCAAATACCATAAAGCAAACTGAAAATGGAAAACAGATATCATCCAACAAACATAATAACATAATAAAACTAATATTATTATATAGGTATGCAGTTACTTAATTGTAAAGCTGAGTGACCCAATATGCTTTTTTTCAAAACAAGTACAAACACTACTACATTTTTCATTCCCATCTCATTCATGTCCCTGGGTACTGGTGCAAAACACACTTACAGAATTAATTTGAAACACTTTCCCCATCCTAACCTCTATTGAAGTTTTTGAACCATGAAATAATTAATTAAATATGTTAACAGTTGCTTATTTAGTTACTTACACTTTTGCCTTTCAGCATTAGGTCCTCTACAGCACTTAGAGATACCACACGCTAACTCACGAAAATCAATATGACCATCTTGATTTTCATCAAAAGCATTAAAAAGCCCTAAAATGGAAAAAAATATTTAAGTTAAACCCCCAGACAAATATTTTGTTAACTTTTTCCCCATACACACCAGTTATGATGTATATATTTTTATAAATTTATAATACACAAAATTATTTTCAAACCCAATTGAATGTGGTGTAATAATGTTAAGGACCACACAGGTACCTTTTTTTGTAATATTTTTTATTTTTGCAGAATTTTGTTAATATAATATTAGAATTCCATGTTTAAAAATAAGTTACAATCAATAAACAACTCCAAAAAATATACACTCACAATACACACTTACAATACAATACCTAAAATAACTTACTTACAATACTCTAATTACAATTAACTACTTACAATACATTATGTACAATACACTAAGTACTGTATACATGTATGGGTTCATGTACATGGGTACTAATAAACCAAAAAGGAACAAGCTTGCTTGAGGTAAGCCAAAATTGAGAAGGTTTAATTACCAGCTTGAAATGTTTTCCAGGTGCATCATTTGTGACAGAAGGCCAGCTTAATCCTCACCCCTAACCAGTTGACATTGTACACTACTAAATGGCATTAACACAGGAAAAGTTTTAGTTAAGAATTATTTACTACCTACCTTGACATAAACACTGTGGAATTGGTGGTGACACTAGAGGAGTGAATGTTTCCAAATCAAATTTGCCAGTTTTTGTCGCAGACTTTAAGGTCCAATACCTCTTCTCTAGTTCCATGATATCTGTCTCTTGTACTGCAACAGTAAGAAATTACATTACACAACACATTTACCATCAATTCTGAGAACAATTAACACTCACAGTCTTTAAAATGTCTATATACACTGTCAAAAAGATCAGTAACACAAATAGAGAAAATTAACAAAAAAAATCCATGACACAAGACAGAGTTGAAGACACAACAATATTGTTCTTCAAGTGCTGCAAATGTCAATGAGAAGCACAAGCTGATACTTGTGGTATTTGTATAGATTTTTGTGCTTCCAACTCCCACTCTATCATGGATTAAAGGCAATCCTTACCATTTTTAGCTCAAGATTAAAAGGATTAAGACGGATTCTGCTCAAAAATCGGGCAATTAGTGCAAAAATTAGTTACTAACAATCTACTCACAGCACAGTAACTTTTTGAAAACTATTTAAAACATCTCACTTTAATTAATTCTCTAAGTGACCCCGCCATCAAATTCTCAAGCATTCTCCAAAAATATAATGTCAAACCTTGTAAGAATGCCTAATGTGTGTATTATTGTGTTTTCAATTTACGCAAAATGTCCAATTTCAATTTCAATTTTTTCTCATGGAGTCAGCTTGAGAGCTTAAAGCTGTGTTCACATTAAAGCCAAAACATGATTAGAGTAAACATGTTTCAAGGAAACATGTTTCGCCTCCTCTCCACATCCATCCGCCATTTTGAACGTGTTTGGTCTGATCATGATTGAAACTACCTGGCGAGGTTGTTTTAATCATGCTTATAATAATCATGTGTGAACCATGATCCATGCAATGCACTGTCTGATCTGAACACTTTTCATAACGAAACATGTTTTATTCGAGATCAGACTAGTCATGTTGCCGCCTAGTGTGAACACACCTTAAGTCTCTTACCTTTATTCAAAACATTACCATGCTATGAGGTTTTTTGGTAACTTTATTTTTGCCATTATTGCTCGACTGTTCTGCAGAAATCATCTTAACTACTAAAGAAAAAACACATAATGAGTTATTCTGTTCATTCCCTTTAAATACTGAATAATAAACCATACATCCTAGCAGCTGCAGCCACATGTAATTTTAGGATAACCTACAATCTAATCAGATATACTAAGCTATATGGGTTGCATGCACCGAGATCCATAACTTACAGTGGGTTACACTAGAAAGTGTCTGGTAAAATGTTGGTGTCTCGCTGCTATCCGTCAACTGAATACTGCAGCCATTACTGACAATAAGCAGCCACCTGGTAAGCGTGGTCACATCTGGATTCTTTAACAACCAACTGGAGAAATCTTCATATGTCAGTCGATCACACTACAAAACAATTCACAAATTTAATATTATAAACAAACTTTGTTTCAAGTAATCCTTCCGTAAGGCAAAGACCAATTTAACCTTTTGATAACTAAAAACAAAACTAAATGCCACAACTTAAAATTGAATGACCTATCATTGTTCCTTCCAAAAGAATTTTTAGAAGAAATGACAAACTTAAAATAAGTTGATGTGTAGTTGGTAAATGTGAATGTCATAACTCCTGACCAACGAAGTATAAAATTAAGTAATTGCAGAGCATTTTAATTTCTACACTGACAGAGCAAACTCTTGTGCTCATTGGTTAAGACCCGAGGTTGATGACTGTAGAAACCATAAAATTACATAACCTGTAACACAGGGTAATTGACAGACAATTTGAGCATGCATTTCTGAAATGCCATTGTGACACTTGATTCAAAATTGTGACCTGCCATGTGTGAACAAAATTTTTCCCTAGTTCACGGGTAAATTTTCACTGTTATTGTGAAAAACAAATCAACCACACTTCTCCATAGGTTTCCATTGAATAGACTCTTACAGACTATAGAAATGACATCATTGGTCATTAGTTGCAGAACAACTTTTTATTTATGTTATGCTACATCCCATTGATGGCTCATGACTATACAGTTTTATTTCTTATTAACTTCCAAGCCACAGATGCTTCCATAGCAACAATGGCAATCTAACTGATTTTGAAGAAAGCAGGTTTGCTCTAAAATCTTGCCAGAAACATGTTTGCTTATATTTTAAAGTAACACTAATTTAACTTCTTGTACACAAGTCAAAAAAGTCCTAAGAGGCCATAAGCAACAACTATTGCAGACAGAACAGAGGGGCTTTTTGAATGAAAATATTATATTCCTTCCTAGAAAACAAAATCAATGGAGTTCTTACTAATACTAGTCAAAACACCGATTACAATAGTGGCAAGTAAAAACATTTTCAGAACTGCAGTCCCAGACAATTAATTTGACATCGAAGGGGAACAGACAATTTGTTTTCAAAATGTCTTATCATCATTTGGTATATTCACATGTCATGTAATCTGTCAATCAAATTAACTTTCCTTTCCACCTTAGCGACAGAATACGATTCTGCAAGTAAAATTAAAACAACCACCAAGAAACACTGTTTGAAGTAGACTTTGCTCACCAAACAAGCTTAACATACATCTAAGCCTTAAAACATATTTCCATAGGATCAAGGATTAACAAGTCACCATTTAGAAATTATTTGAACTGGTGTTTACACGTCTCGTTTCCTGATGGTTTGAAATAATCGAAACAATTTTTTTTCCGGTTGATCCTTACATGGTTTCTTATAAAACTGCAATTTAATGCGATGTAATGTGACGAATTGCTAGCTAAACATATCGTATCGAACCTACTTATCAAATAAACCATGTATGTATGTATGTACATTATCTAAGAGCTCAAACGAACTTACGCTCCAATACAGTTGTTCATGTTTGAATTTCAAACATCATACTCTTTCAGTGCGTTTCAGTTATCTGTAAATGTCCTGATGAAACACTTTTAAGTTTTCATCCGGGAACGAAAACAAATAACGTCACGTATCACAGATCAAAAAATGCCAAAAGAATCGAGGATTACCTGAGAAAAGCACTCTATAACCGCTTGAGGAATATTGCCTCCATCGCACGCCAAAATTAAACTCTCCATGTTATCTTTGTACACGAACGCTCCGTCGGTAGAATAAATATTGAAAATAACTGCAAAGAAGGACACAAAACAGGACAAAAGGTTACTTATATATTTTTGGTACTAGATTATCACAAAAGACAAAACGAATCATGACTTATACTGTTGGCCGCAAACAGATACCAAACTTACATTTTATCTTTTCTTCACGTGTGCCTCGAGTCAGCAGTACAAGACCACATAGCAAATCTCGAAACGTTATACCCTTGTTTGTACCACCAAATGCTAAGTAAATTTGCTGCAACACAAAAGAGGATGTTTACTGCGATCAATGATGTAAAGTAAAGAGATTAACTAAAGGCACTGCATTACGCTGAGAATGAACTATCCCTTACGTCAGCCACTTTGCTCGGAACACCATCACCAAGCACTTCACGGGCAAAGACCGGTTGAGGCATAAATCCACTCACACCAGAACAGCGTTTGAACGCCAGTCTCAGGCGTTGCATTTCATCGTCCGTAACTAAACATGTTTCGAGCAAGCAAAACGAAAATCAGCTGTAATAAACAACGAAACCTACTTTGACCTGGCAAACAGGTCTTTCAATCATGACCTGAACACGTACCTCTCTTGGTCGCTTCCTCGTAGGCTAGGAAGCTCAGTTTTGACTCTCTAAGACCCATAATTAAGTAATCTATCAACTCCTACATATTGCCTAGGTTGTCGTTATCCTGGTAAATATTTTTAGCCGTAAGCATTGCACCTTGCAAAGACCTGATCTCAGAAAAACACACACCTTCCTGATTCTTGCTCATGACGTTCAAAGCCTCGTTTTGGAGAAAAACCTGCTACTCGTTGCTGTGGCACTATGGGTAGCACAGGCACGCGGGAAACTTGATTTGCGCTGACTTGATACAGTACCTGTATCGGGGGCGGTCTTGTGGCAGTCCTGTACGGACACGTAACTTAATACAATACAAGATTTTGGGAAAACTGAGTTTCTAAATAAAAATTGTGATTGAGTACCAAATCTACAAGGACGAGGTGCGCGGTTTTAGTGTCCACTCCAGGGACCGCGGAGGAGGGGGACGGGCTGGTACTTTTATTGCTGGGATTTTTTTTTCAAGGGCTCCAGATGGCGCGCAAATGCAAGATAAATGGCAAAACACTGACCTTGACGTTTGTTTGTATTAGCCAGATTTTTAGCCCTACCACTTTAAAATGGTCTCCGCCGCCGATCCCTGCACTGCCGACCAGTCGTCAGTGCTGAGAAGGGAAGGCTCACGCGGTATCGAAAGGGCTCAGGGGGCTCAAGGTACGAAGAAAAGGACAAGGCATCAGAAGAGTTTAAACGGTACCAAAAAGGCTCCTAACGTATCAAAAAATCTCACAAGATCAATGAGAATTTAATATAAAGCATGAAGAAAAGTGAAGACAAGTCTAGTCTCAGTCCAGATTTTAAGGAACAAATGGTGTCTCCAAAAGAAAGATCATAGGTGCGTTCCTTTGGAGTGATCTGGCTCTGAGTCAGTGATCCGACATCACTCCGGATCATGGTGCATCAAAGGAGCTGATGAATCCATGACCAGAGTGGATTCATCAGTTCCTTTGATGCACCATGATCTGAGTGATCTTGGATCACTGATCCTGATCCCGATCAACCCAAGGAACCCACCCCATGTCTGTGGAAAAGAGGATGCACTGGCGACTGATATTTAGTAAGATAGCCGAAAGGTTGGAACCTTTTTTGTGATGCATTATGGCAGGTTGTTAGCGCTGCTAGTGATACCTTTCTTTGATTGACTGTTACGTAATGTCTTTTGATATCTTGTGAACCCATATGATAGTTTGGGACATTGCATAAGACCTCTTGTATGCATGTATGTATTGGTTCATCCGAGTTAATTATCAACCTGACTAATCAATTTCAATAGACCTGAATACGTTACCTCTATCAACACTTTCAAGTTGATTCTTAGCTAGGATTTAACTTGCCCACCAGCGCAGTGCGTCCACAAGCTTACAGGTTTGTTCACTTTTTTTGGTTTCTTTCCTTAGTCCGGTGGTTATGTTTGTTCGCTTCAAGTGGCCGGCGGCACGGAGATGCGAACGACTCAAACAACACACACAATTTATGTGAAATTAAAGATTTCGTTTATTTTCTCTTTACGTTTTACTACATATTACATGTCACGCGACGCTGGTAACGTTACTCTGTCACGTGGGATCCTTGCTACAATTCTCGGCATCACTTGCAAACTCCACTCACGACTTTAACGTCATCCACTGCCATGTCGCTCAACCCAGTCTTCCCTCGTTCGCCCTCAAATACAATCTGCCGGTATATTAACGGATCAAATTGTCAATGTGTTTCAGCAAAGGCGTGCATAGTTTATCTTGCTGAAAAGGCGAATAATTATAATAAACAGCAGCTCCAACTGCTAGAACACACTCAGTTAATTTGGAAACCGGTCAATGTAAAGCGCAGACTGCACACTGTACACTGTAGACTGCAGACTGCAGACCGGGGTTAAAATGCAGACTGAGGGGGGCCGACTGAGGGTGAAATGCAGAATACAGACCAGAGGTAAAATGCAGACTGCAGACAACAGACTTTTTAAGTATATATCATGTTATTTCCAGTATCGAGTGGTAACCGTAAGCAGGGTTATTCCCGGGTTATTCAGGCTAATCGGACTAATTCTCGAAATTCTGGTTAGCCTTGGTATCACTCTGGCTAGATTGAATATCGCTCCGGTTAGCATGAGTATCACTCACGTACGTTAGCCTAAATAACGCTCCGGTCAGATCTCAAAGATGGAAATGGTAACATGATTCAGTTAAAAAGTCTACAGTCTACATTTTACCCTCAGTCTGCATTTTACCCCTGTCCGCAGTCTTCGTTTTACACTGACCGCTTGAAAACTCATAAATTGCAAAATAAGCGTTAGGCGGTGTCGTCGGATATTTTACAAACGTGCAAACTGTTTGCTTAGGAACTTCAGCCGTCCCGTGTACAACCAATCAGCAAAATCTTGATTTTTAGCTTACAACACTACTACTAAAGTCTCACTATAGGTTCACTCAGGCTCTTCGCACTCGCAGTCTTACCTTGAACGGTGTTTTGTTTTTGTTCCTGTTTATTGTAATCTGCCTGTAGTTCCACCTGTTTCCTCTGTTTCCAGACTTCCTAAACTGTTCCCATCGACGCTTACGTTTTTGGATGAACACACGAAATTTCCCCATTCCTTTTCTTCCGAACATATGATACCAGAACTGAAGGCACATGGTAGAACCGCCTGGAAACTCTTTACTGGTCAGCAGCGCTTTAGATCCTTTTGCATGTGAGGTTGAGCTGTCCAAGTAAATGTAACCTCCTGTTTTAAGTAGCAGATGCGTTTGTTAATCATTCTACAGAAAGGTTTGTCTGACTAAAGGCGGAAAAGCGATCTCATCCAGGGGGAGTTGTCATACTCCTAAACGGAGCATCACATTATGAAGATGCGGTCACACTACGCACTCAATAATAACGTCAACGATGATGACGCTGATCATCATCAACAGTCATAAGGAGTCCAGGGCGTTCTACTTTACCTTGGCCATTAGCTGAGTGATCACCAGAGGGCCCGGTGTTTTTGCTTGGTGTAGCACCTTTTTGAAGCTGCCAGTCATAGCGGGCGCCATCAGGGAGTTCTGGATTGCTTGGGTTGTTAGTCCAGTCACACAAGGTTCCCCCATCAAAGCTACAGGAATCTAGAACTGAACAAAACAACACCTGAAAATACGTACTACAGCTGAACAGAGTCACTGTCCACTCTCATGAAAGATGACTATCAAAGATTATAAATGCAAATGTATTAGTCTCCGGATTTTTTAATTAGGTGCAAGTAATTTGCTATTTTCACTGCCCATTGTTTTCGAGTGTTATAACACATACCGTGTTGTACGACTCTTGTAAGTGATGCCTCACATTAGCAATGTAACTTGACTAACTTACAGGACTCTGTGAGCGAGTGAGCGTTTTTTTTTTTTGATTTTTAACGTTTTTTTTGTTTTTCAAATTTCGATAAAAGTTTCAGAGTATATAAATACGTAAGTCGACCGAGTAGCAACCTTTTTCAGTAGGTGGCTATAACAGACACTGTATATGAACCGATGCAACTTGAAAAAGCGCGGTAACCACCGAAAACTGATACAATTTCAATTTCCTTTCATTTGGGATAAAGATTCGAATGCGTAACATTTGCCCTTTGGAGTCCTATTGTTGACAAAGAGGGAGTGGTGTCCATTTACAGTTGCCATAACACCGTAGCATGAGTCCGTCGATCCTCTATCTCTCGGGTAAAATAAACTTTTGTTGTTGTTGTTGTTGTTGTTGTTGCTGTTGTTGTCGTTGTTGTCAGATACAGGGAAAGACAGGTTACGCTTGATCTTCATTCCGTGGGTCGTTACAGGCTCTTCAGACTCTTACAATAGAAATGTGCCTTAAGGATCCACTTTGAATCAACTACATAGTTATAACCGAACTTGAGCCTTTGCTATCTATGCAGAAGAAAGATAAGGCAATCGTATCCTATCATTTAGTTATGTAATACCGCTCTCTTTGGCAGAAACATTGCCTAAAATTATGAAAAAGGGAGGTTTGTTACCTGAGGGCTGTGTTGGAGGCAATGTTGTCGGTGGTAGTGTTGTCGGTGGCACTGTTGTCGATGGCACTGTTGATGGGGACACTGTTGATGGGGGCATTGTTAATGGGGGCACTGTTGATGGGGGCACTGTTGATGGGGGCACTGTTGATGGGGACTTTGTTGATGGGGGCACTGTTGATGGGGGCACTATTGATGGGGGCATAGTTGACTGGGGCATTGTTGATGGGGGCTTAGTTGCTGGGGGTAATGTGCTGGGACAATCCTTAAATGCTATATCATCGATAGCAATATCGCCTCTGTAGTCTCCACCGCGCTGGCCCTCAAAATATACCTGAAGAAAAAAGAATTCTTCCAGCTAAGAGAGGAAAGTCTATCGGCTGTTACGCCGCAAAATGTAATACTAACGCAAGATGTAATAACATTAGCCGCAAAATGTAATAGCACTCGAATGACATGTATGATACTTCGAAATCAGTATCATCAAGACTCATTTACGTTCATCCAACGTAGATTACATGAATTGAATAAAAGAACTTCAAGTTTTGCTCTCAACTCTTAAAAGTAGGGCCGTAGCTAGCAAGAGGCAGGACGAAACATTTTCCTCGTCTAAACTTTATCCCCGAATTTTTTAAAAAAGTACGGTTAAGTTGGTAAAGCAATTTCCAGAGAATATTTGCCACCGGCTGGTGAAATGTTAAATCAGTGAGCGAATTAGGGGCAAAAGTTAACCTGTTTAAGTGCTGTAAAGAAGATCGAATGGCTAGTTCATAAATAGCCATACCCGACCTTTTTAGAGCTGTAAATTCCATTTCGCGGCGATTATTAAATTTCGCGGGGTAACAACGGCACAAGTTTCACCTCACTAATATATTCACAACATTTCGGAGTTAAGATTGCGTACAGTAATCGAAACTTTTACCGATACCTTCGAAAAAATCTGCAATTTTACTATGTTAACATAAGTAAACAAAATTATTTATCAGTGCCAGCTGGAAAAGTCGTTGAAAAAAATGCGAGTTTGCTATAGTGATTGCCTCGGAGTCTAGCTCACATCATTACCTACTTAGGTGTTAGCAATGGAAGGCCTGCATCAACTTTGTTAGTTACCATAGTACCACATATTCATCAAATAAAGAATGTATATATATGCGTGTACACTAAACGTAGTTGGCATCACAATTTAACCTGCAAAAACTCTTCTTTGGCTAATACTAGGGCATTATTCTCCCGTAATACCCATGGACTGATTACGGGCCTGCAAAAACCAAGCAAAAAGTCATATAATAAGCTACTTATTAACCTGGAATGTTTGTTCTTTACGGGGAAATCTCAAACCTCGGACTTGCCGTATTGACCTCCCTATCGCTCGGTCAATATTGCAAGCCGGGTCCTCGTTGAGATTTTCCCGTAGAAATCTCATTCCCGGTTAACAAGTAGTTATTAAGTTAAGCGACCAGCAAAAACAATCAGTAATACCTTGTACGGTAAATCACTCTTTATCTCAACACTTCCTTGGATCCATTTGTCTCCCTGCTCACCAGACTTTTCCCACACGCTTTCAGTGCCACCGCTAGTTTTTATTTGGACGCTAAGTTTTCCTATTCCACTACCGAGCATGTGGTACCAGAATGTCAGAAGATGACAAGACCCCCCTGGAAATTCCTGACTGAAAAAGCACGAAGTTTGTCCTGGTTGGGCGGGTGACGACGCCTCGAAATATAAATAGTACCCTACAGAAGGAGAACAAAGAAAACACAAAGAAGATTTGTGGCTGTGACAACAATTCTAATAAAATCTGTTATTACAGCAAATCCTTCAGCGTTTTTTTTCACATGATTTCAAGGAGTCCGTAAATCGCATTATTCAAAAATATTAAAAGCAAGTCGAAGCAATACCAAATGAAAATCCTGCTGAATAGCTTCCATTTGAGTAGTCAAAAAGCAGGATTTCAGTAATCAATAGACGTAAAACTGTATGACTGATGGGAAGGTTGATCTTGGTGGTTTAACAGTCTGTTCAAAGCACCTTGCCATTAAAAGAGTGCAATACATCTTGATTCTTTTATTTGCTGAAGTCATCTCAACTCACCGCGTTACTGAAAGAACAACGGAAGTTGATTCCTACGCACCTGAACCGGAAGTGTGGTCGGTCTTGGGCCCAGTCCCTGAACTTCCGGTGGGTCCTGTTTGACGGTACCACCTTGGATAGGACTGTTCATTACACAGTTTCCAGTGGCACATTCCACCGGCTTCAAATTCACAATCGTAAGGACCTGTAACCGCCAAATGGACATTGTTTCAATGCTTCATATCAAAATGCTTCAAACATTACGAACGTACTTAAATAAAGAAAAAGTTTTTCTTTGAAAATGCAGACTTAATTCTGAAGAGGAGATCACCACTACAATGTGGTAGGCGTTCAGTCTGGATGCCATTTCCCTTGCTTGGGATTGCCTTGTTTAAATTTGATACAGGGCCATGAAGATGGGGCACCACTTCAAATAGAAATCTCTTTAAAAAGCAGACGGAATGGAAGAATTTAGGGAAGTTGATGGATTTATAACATTATAACATGTTGAAGTATTTTGTCCCGGTCTGATGTGTTGTTATCAAAAAAGGAAAAGTCAAGGCAGTTTTCTTACCCAGTCCACAACGCCGCAACACACAATTTCCGAGTTGCTTATCATCTCCAGCACAAGCTTTCCCACCATTCTTTGGAGCAGGATCATCACATTGCCTGGTTCTGCTGTGTTTTCCAGAATCACAGGACACGCTACAGGCACCCCAGCTGGACCACCTACCCCAGTGACCATCAACTGGTTCTGAAAAGTAATAAAAATGTTATTTTTTACATCATATTTTATGAACCATATTGGTCGCGTTCATATTGAAAACTTCCATTCCGTTTACTTTTACTGTGATAATAACGACTTTATTACCGTGTAAATTACATCTAGCAGTGGCCGGAGAATCCCCACTGCTAATAGTAGACACCTAACTAGAACTATCTAAAAATAATAGACATAAAAGTCCTATAAGAGAAATTAAAATGAGTCACAAAGCTGGCAGCCACTACATCCATCTAGGATGTTGTCAAGATCTAGCCTCCGTACGTGGGTCTTAAACTGCTTGAGATTTATCGCCGATCTTTCTTAATTTGTTACTAGTCTTGGGCCTAGATATCGAATTCAATGCTTTCCATACAGTAACAGCGTTAAATCTAGGTAAATGACAATCCCTGTGCCGTACTGTAGGCCTCTCCTTGGTCCCAGTCCTCTATAAAGATGAGTACTGACGGTGTGTTCAGCTGTGTCCAAGTAATTTCTCTTCTAAAGTACGTCAAGATATTTAATTCATCAATTTTAAGAAAGCGTGATGTTGAAAAGTGTTCTTGAGACTGATGAAGACTAAGAGTCATCCTGTTAAAATATTGTTATTATTATCATCATCATCATCGGCATCATCATCATCATTATTATTATTATTATAGTCAACCGAAATGCCTCAATACCATCCACAATATATGAGTCAGAAACTAACATTTATCAACTTTTTCAACGATGCCAAGTGTTTCCTGACATTTGTCTAAACATCTCTATTAACAGTAAATTGAAAAACTATATTTACCATAACATTTTTCTTTGCAGTCTTCAACCTGTGTTTCTATTCCGATTTTGTCTGCTCCAGGACAGTTGTTTAGGTCATGTGATGCACAAAACCGCTGGCGCACATGTCTGCACTGGTTGTCGCAAGGACCAAAGACTGTCCATGAGCTCCAACCACCGCTAGGGCCTGGGAAAGAACTTATGTTACTTGACAGCGCAGTTTTTGATCTAGCCTCGCTAAAATATTCGCTTGTTCTATCCATTCATTATTTGTTTCCTTGTGGGATACCCGACTTTAGAGGTATTACCATTTGACAATTGACATTGTTTGAGATGTAAGAGGTTTTCTGGTTGTGATTGGTTTATCGATTGATTGACAATACCGTATTTGGAAAGATGTTTTGGTTTATTTTATTTTCCTTTACATGCCGCTAACGGCGTTATAAATAATAAGATGTAGAATCTTTTTTTCACCTCTCTTTTTCCCTATCCAGATTGCTTGGAAAATAACTACACTAAGTTGTTATTTTCAGGTATTGATCAGTAAACGAATATTGATTAAAATACTTCTAGCAGCATCGAAGAAGGTAACCTAGTTCCCAAACTGACGTGGGAGATCTAGGTTGTTCGTCCGCTTTCTTCATCGTTGTTGTTTTTAGAATGACTTATATACAGTTTTACCAGAGATCAGAGTTCAAGTGTGTGAGTGTTTCTAAAAGAATTTCAGGTTCAGGACCGGTCAGTCAGAAACAAACAGCCTAGTCCTCATTAACCTCATGTCGCTGTTATGTCCATTGGGTGTATGGATGGCATAAGCATAAGCATAAGCATGAGCGAAAGACTTTCAGCCAATCAGCGAGCACTTTATGCTTACGTCAACCATGTCGTCATTGGACATAACACCGGCATAAGCATAAGCATAGGAAGAATGCTTATGCTTAATTATGATTATGTCGCAGCCGTTTCCATTAGCGCATAAGCTTCTTATGTTTATGTTTATGCTTTTAAGTAAGCACCGGGTTTAACTATCGTCAAAAACCTTTTATTTTTTGAAACTAGTTTCGAATTTTGGCTAAAGACAAGCATGTATATTTTGAACTGAACATCACTTGTCTTCTGTACACACTAATTTTAATGTGCTATACTTTACTGTTGTTGGGAAGTCTAACTTTAAGCTAATCAGGTAAACCATTTGTTGGCCGCATTTCCTTTGAAAGTCATAAAAATTAGTGTACTCTAAAAAGAGAATGATAAACTAAAAAATCATGTTTGTTTGTTTGTTTGCTATCACTTATGTGGCCACAAAATACCGACGACGTC